TGAATATAAACACAAACAGACGCAAGTGTGTATATATGTATACGTACCAGAATCGTACGGACTTAGGGGTCGCGCTCGACCTCATGTCACAAAAGGCTGTGGCGGGAAAGTTGATGCATACAGCTCATATCATCCCTGCTTTTGTTTACTGATACTGTCGGCTATTGTTTAGATTGTTGATCGATGAAATATCGTGCTTTCTTTATAGATGTATTTTTTCCTGGTAATATTTTGGGAGGGTGAGTAATTACGTTGTATACGGTTTATCCTCCTTCACGTCACATTAATCGCTCCAGACACGTGAAACACGTGTGGTTATGGGATATATACACAGTACATGTACGTACTAGCCTGTCCTAGGCACTTTAACATAAGTAAGATCAGACTAGCTCCGTATTACTTACTGTATATACACACACAGTATACGTATACACCACCCACTATATCCCTGATCGAGTTATTCAATCCAGATGGTATTCTTTTGACGACACCACACACATATATGTCCTTGCGAATAACGACGTTTCTCCTTTCAGACCTACAACTTTTAAATTGTTGTAGATTTTATAAATACAATTGTAAATATTTAAACTAGTTTTAACGGTTTCACCAAATAATAGAACTACATAGTTCAACAGTTTCGAGCCCTTTAAATGTATTGAACGCATAGCAAGGCAATGATGTTCGTTTGCACGGTATAGAGTACCCGTGTACCGTATTGGGGAGCTAAGGCCCGAGTAATATGGGGGTTGGGGTGGAGGGGATAGGGGATCCCCCGGAGTTACTAACTTAGAGTCGTGTACATACTACAGTGGGGAGCTAAGGCCCGTGTAACATGGGGGTTGGGGTGGATGGGATGGGGGAGTTACAAAAAAATGTACTAACTTAGGGTCGTGTACATACTACCGTGGGGAGCTATCATGTGCAGCTAGCAGGGGCCGTGTTCTACATTGAGGAGCTAGAATACCGTAAAATGGGACTGGGACACCAGTTATAACGTCAGTAATTGACATACAATCAGCACTCATTAATATTTCACTGTTATGTCTTCACTATCCCTTAATATCAGTTACCTACAAACTATGGATTTAAAATCCAAACAAGATTTGACCTGTGAGTGAACAATTACCTAGGGTATGCTTCTGCATTTAAATGTCGTTTTCGTTATACATCATAGACTCTAGTTTTACATTTTGTAACTGAGCACTTATATTTTGTACAAACAATCATAACACTTTGACATGTCTCGACTGGACGCTATATAACTATTCGTGTTTACACGATATACATTTTATAATTAATGCTAATTAAGATATGATTTGTCGTTCAGTAATAATAAAAATAAAATATAGTGAATAATTTCACGTGACAGTGTCGTTGTTGATGTTGATAAATCAATATTTCTGCTCTAACCCCTTTGCATGTGATGATGTGAAATTATTTTGTCTAACTTAGATCAGGGACGTGTTTATTGTGTATACGTCTCCGCTTTTATATAGACAATGGTTTATTGTGATCGCGTATCAATACACGTAGGATAATAGCAATTTAAGGAAGTGTGATTCAAACCAAACATCAGCTCCGCCCAGCGTGCCGACAGCCCTGTCCGGTTTACGTAGCATAGTATTGGACTTTATATTTCCCATTAATGTATGCATTAATTAATTTAATAAAATGCTTCCTTGTTCATACGAAAACAAATTATTGTCTCCTCTACTTAATTTTATGAAATAATGACGAAACAGTAGCGATATGGAAAAAAAGGATGAACAAACTATATCTCTAATACCGACTGGCTTACACACACACACACATATATATATATTAGTTGAATGCTGAGATTTAGACATATAGGTACGGATGTCGATAATCAACCGTGCTGTAATCATATACTCGGAAACATGTAGATGTGACTGAAATTTAATTGAAACAACAGTTCATTTCCTTATTTTTTCTATGTAACTTTATGACATTGGGCATTTTTTTTCTGAAGATGGCAGTTCAACATTATATAGGCGATACCATGCATACAAGGTATCGTCATCTGACGTCTCATGTTGAACACGGGCTTTTCGCGTATATATTTATTTCAGGAGGGTGTTACTACTACATGCATACGATTTTCCTAAAATAATCAAGAGCTATTTGCGATAATAAAAACTGTTCCCGTCATAACCCCGTAATTTGAATCCCAAAAGTTTGAATCAGCAACAATGGCGGACTAAACGACGTCGAGGTCGTAACAAAGACGTCACGACGCAGAGAAGGTATGAATAGTCGATAGTGTAACCTTTGGATTTCGAACATGGTAGGTTCTGGAATTAAAGTGATTTTGTTAAGTCGAAGAAAAACGTGGATAGATTTAAAAGGATATTGTTTTGCGATATAAACATTGAGTTTCTATACTTACTGTCGATGAAATCAAACAATATATCGCCTTTCATGACAGTACTGATATATTGTCGAGTCTTGCGTTTCCTCTTTCAAAGAAGAACCTACGCTAGGAACTAAAATTTATATCTGCTGCCCCCTATTACGACACTTGGGACTTTTATCTTTTCCCTGCAGTACATACACATTGTTTTCGGCGGTGTACCTTTAGGCATCCATCGCCGTGTCACCTTATGAATATTTTGAGGACGTAACCCCCACCCACAAACACACACACACACACCCACACACCCACCACACACCCAAAAGGTAAACTAAAGATTATTAACCTACGTAGAGAGATCAAATATGAAGAAAATAAAGCATTTAAATATCACCATCATAAAACATGCATCTGAAAACAGGTACAAGTAAATATCTGTGATTAATGAGATTATATCAGATTTTTACTTATAATCAGAGACGTAAAAAAAACGTCTCTGATATAATTATTGCACAGATACATTATAAAAAAATGATGAACGATCGGGACATAAAGATTGAAACTGCTATGCATTTCAACTATACATACAAAATATTAGGTAATGATAAGTTGCTGCACGAGAGGAGCAATTCTATATTAGTATATACTTCTTCATAACATTTATTATCGTTATGCAAGTTCATCACGAATAAATAGCATACAAATCTATATGCTAATCGGTTTTACGGTATTAGTTATCATGCAAGACATTATAGTGGCTGCACGATTGTTTAAATATAACTCATATTTACTAGTTCTGTACGTGGCACATGTTGCAGCTTGGTATTACTTCCGTTCCCAGGTTGTGTTCACACCGATTCCGATGCTTAGGCCAAATAAAAATAAATCTTGTGTTTCCACTAACCCTTCTTACCCTACATGTTTCGGCCTATACCCTAAAGTTGATAGTTGCATTTCGTGATATCCACTATTAAAGTCATAACCCCTGCTTTATATAAGCACAATAAAACAATTTCCAAAATAAAGAAAATTCCTTTACTACCTACCTCTTTGTTTGAAGATGATAGCGGAAACATAACTTTTTTTGGTCTTATGTAAACTAGATATTTTATAACTGTACAGTAATGATGTGCTGTAAATGATACTTTGATAGGCCCACAAGTTATAATATCAGAAAGAAAACAACAGATAAAATTAAATTCTGTTCTTAGTAGCTGGGCTGACATCCAGAAAGGGGTACCTTGGGCCCCTTTTATTTAACAGTTTTATAAATGACATTTTTATTTATTAAAAAGGGTTCATTGTACAAGTATGCAGATGATAATACCCTTTCATTCTGTAGTCCTGATTACGATATTTTTAATTTCAACATTGGAATCTGAGTCACTTCAACTAATAGATTAGTTCAGGGTGCATACGATGCAAGCAAACCGTGATACATTTCAAGTTTTGGCTGTTGGTAAAAATACTTATTGTAAAAATCCTTGTATTCTATTCAAAACACTGAACTGTCATGCGAAAAAAATGTTAGATTGCTTGGCATAGATATTGATTACCAATTCTGATGCACAAATAAGGAAGATTTGCAGGAAGGCATCCAAGCAACTGAATATTCTCAAACGTTTGGGCACTTTTTCGAACAGACTGAGTAAATTAACCATCTTTCATTCATTTATTTTAGATAATTTTAATTTTCGCCCTTTGGCATGGCATTTCTGCACAGCGAAAAATTCTATTTTTTTTTTAGAAAAAGTGCAAGAAAGAGCACTCCGTTTTGTATATGAAGACTTTTCAAGCTCGTACGAGAATTTACTTGAAAAGGCGAAGATGCCTTCTCTGCAGGTCACATGAATGAGAACAATGGCAATTGAAACTTTTAGAATTGTTAATAAGCAATTTAGCTGGCACCTGTATGTTTACAAGATTTATTTAAGGTAAAACAATCTAAATATTTTGTCAGATATAATAATATATTGGACATTCCAAATGTAAAAACTACAACTTATAGTAACATTTTTTTTTTTTAAATTTGATACTGCTACATTGTGGAACAGTCTTCCGGACCATTTCAGGACGGACAACAGTTTCTCTCATTTCAAGAGTCTTATACAGTCCTTGAATGGTTCGGAATGCCGCTATTCTGTATGTAAATAAGCTTTCAGTTAATTTCAATGTGCCTTTTTTTTTTTTATTGCATATGCTTGCATATGAATTGCTCTGCCATCTTGCTTACTTTTATGTGTGCTTTCTCTATTTTTAGTTTGCTTGCATGCTCCTGTTTTTATGTTGTTGTTTAATTATACTTGTATGTATTCGGTTAGAGCATTAGAGCTTATGTTTTGACGTTTGTAACTATACCGAATTTGAATAAAGCTTTCATATTCATATAATAATAAAGAAGAATTACATAATAATTCAGAAAAATAAGTTAACCATGACATGTATGAATAAAGAGCATATAAACAATATATTTAAATCAAAAAGCCTATTCGATGTTATTAGAAAGACCACGGACGAAGACAGCAAAATAGAATTCCGTATCGCATGTGTTAGTTGCAACATACCAGCGTGGTTACACGTAGTTCATTTTTTAAATGGGAGTTGTCGTTCTTACACGTGTATAGGAAGCGCCACCGTAGACGTCAGACGCCATATTGGAATGAATAACCATGATTTTCACCTATCTTTCCTCAACTTTACAAATATTGTGATCCAGGAAGCTACGACAATGATGTAGGGGAGTTCGCTGCCTTCCCACGAAGGCGATGGAGTACAGAAGTGTTGTTTATAACGCCGCAAGAGACGGCAAGCTCAACAGACTTAAAATATTTCTCGACCACAAGTCGAAAGAAGAAGTGGCAAAACTTGTCCATGCTAAAACAAATGGGGCTACCCCTCTGATTATGGCCTGTAGAAACGGTCATCAAGATGTGGTGAAGTATCTCATCAATACGTGTAAGGTTGACAACGAACAGGTGGGCTCTGTAACGTTCGACGGCGAAACTATCGAGGGTGCGCCCCCTCTGTGGTGTGCTGCTGCGGCAGGACATCTTCAAATTGTGGAACATTTAGTGGAAAAAAATGCAGGAGTTAACAAAACAACATTTACAAACTCTACACCTCTCAGGGCTGCGTGTTTCGATGGCCATTTTGAGATAGTGAAATTCCTTGTTGAGCATAAAGCCAACATCGAGATAGCTAACAGACATGGTCACACATGTTTGATGATTTCCTGTTATAAAGGACACAAAGAAATTGCTCAGTATTTACTTGAATTGGGTGCTGATGTAAACAGAAAGAGTGTGAAAGGTATAATAGATTCTAACATTTTGATACTAACCGTCGTTTCATATAAGAAATAATTAGATTTACATAATAATTGCAGTCATTCAAAAAGGACTTTGTAATCGGTGGGGTAAACTATAAAAGAAAAGAGTAGAAATATGAAAAGGAATATTAAATTGGGTATTTTCAGACAAAAGGACCATGCTAGAAAGTTGTAGTATACTAAGGTATATAATTACATTGGTGTACAATCACACATTGAAAAGTATACTTCCATCTTGAGGTATATGTATATCATTGCTACTCCAACAGTGTTAGAGGTTTACACGGCGAGATACTTTTGACAGGCGCCGTGTTGTAGTTGACGAAATCAAGGATAGAAAAAAGTCGTCCAGTGGCCTCTTTATGTTATTAGAGTGATATTACTGCATGCAGATGTTGTTACTTTGGTGTCCGCACTTGGACCTGGGTACCCTGTAAGTCAATGTCCTAATTAGCCTTCATCTCGCAAACATGTACTCTGGAAGACACAAAGTCATGTTTTTTCCATGCCGGGGAGGTATGCCACAGTGGCGAACCACCTTATTGACTTGTTGGTAGTTGGAGGGAATTTGTTATCTTAATCAATCACTCGTTCAATTCAAATAGTTACAAATTTATAGAAACTGTCAACAGTGACAATTTCATTCAAGCAGTCTGCTAGTCCGAATTATTCTGACGTTTTATCGACTTTTTTCATATCGGTCTGTCGTCGATTAACGTCAGAACTCCGGCCCTCTATAATATGCGGGAAATATGCGACCTGCGCCCGGAGCGCACTTCCAACTGATATTTTAGAAACAAATCGTCACTTTCACACACATGTCGCACATGGATCGAAAGACCTATTCTTTATGCACAATATGAACATACATAACATGCCTCAAACAACTAATACAATCACTGAAAACATATTACTGTATTTCAAACTTACTCTGTTTTACTCTAGTTTTTTGATAGCCCCGCCTTCCAATGCCATATGACTAAAATCTCGCCGGCCTACCGTCATAAAGTTGGAAAATACCTTCGGTAACGTGAGATCTCGTCAAGTCATATGACATTTCTCATGGCCTAATTTCCATAAAAACATGGGTTGGTATAGAAAACGTTGGAAAATACTTTTCGTAATGATCTTTGAAACATGTTATTGATCCCACCTAGTGCATAAAGAATAGGTCTTTCGATCCATGTGCGACATGTGTGTGAAAGTGACGATTTGTTTCTAAAATATCAGTTTGAAGTGCGCTCCGGGCGCGGGTCGCATTTCCCGCATATTATAGAGGGCCGGAGTTCTGACGTTAATCGACGACAGACCGATATGAAAAAAGTCGATAAAACGTCAGAATAATTCAGACTAGCAGTCTGCATGCCAAGTTTTGAGTGTCATCTGATTTCAAATCCAATGGGGCGAAATGCTGTAATATGTAATCTTCAGTAATTAGTAGTTGTCAGGACTAGATCTTGAGTTAGCTACAGAAACAAACACTAGCTACTACATCATGTAGATAAAAAAGAAATTGTAATTTAGTGTACTTTTGGATACAAGTTCAATCATGTCATGTGATATATGCAACAATTATGAGGATTCCGTTGCTCAAACCAGTACAATTCATGATCAGCCCACCTGATGAGGTAAAGGTGAATATAATGTTATTCCCTTGGAGCCAATTCAAACTGGTAAATTCTGTATATACCATAAATATAACAGTTGTGTTTTCAGTTATGGATACATAGTAACATATTTTTTTACCACCTTATGGACATGGTTTCAAAATTTGATGTCTTTTCAAGTCTTGACCCCATGACTGGCCAGCTGAGGGCAATGCCAGTCCTACATAATTTGTCTATGTTAATATAAAAATGTAAAATTCAGCAGCAATGTATATATCTTGAGATCATGGTCAAATAGTTTATAATCATTGTCAACAGTATGAAGCTTTTAAGGATCAAGAATAGAATATTAGCTCCGTCTTCTAAGTAAATCATTATGGAGTAGATATGGGCTTTTTGTTTGCTTATTTGATGTATTTATTACAAGGTCATATCATGTTGTTCACTTTTACATCCTCGTAGCACTAACAGACAAACAGATAGAAAGATGTTCACTTTTCCACCCTTGTAGCAACCAAGGTCATAGAAAGACGTTCAGTTTTACATCCTCTTAACAGTCAAGGTCATAGAAAGACATTCAGCTTACATCCTCCTAACAGTCAAGGTCATAGAAAGACGTTCAGTTTTACATCCTAGTAACAGTCAAGGCCATAGAAAGACATTCAGTTTTACATCCTCATAGCAGTCAAAGTCATAGAAAGACATTCAGTTTTACATCCTCGTTACAGTCAAGGTCAAAGAAAGACATTCAGCTTACATCCTCGTAACAGTCAAGGTCATAGAAAGACATTCAGTTTTACATCCTCATAGCAGTCAAGGTCATAGAAAGATGTTCAGTTTTACATCCTCGTAACAGTCAAGGTCATAGAAAGACATTCAGTTTTACATACTCGTTAAAGTCAAGGTCATAGAAAGACATTCGGTTTTACATCCTCATAGCAGTCAAGGTCATAGAAGGACATTCAGTTTAACATCCTTGTACAGTCAAGGTCAAAGAAAGACATTCAGCTTACATCCTCGTAACAGTCAAGGTCATAGAAAGACGTTCAGTTTTACATCCTAGTAACAGTCAAGGTCAAGAAAGACATTCAGTTTTACATCCTCATAGCAGTCAAGGTCATAGAAGGACATTCAGTTTAACATCCTTGTACAGTCAAGGTCAAAGAAAGACATTCAGCTTACATCCTCGTAACAGTCAAGGTCATAGAAAGACGTTCAGTTTAACATCCTCTTAACAGTCAAGGTCATAGAAAGACATTCAGCTTACATCCTCGTAACAGTCAAGGTCATAGAAAGACGTTCAGTTTAACATCCTCTTAACAGTCAAGGTCATAGAAAGACATTCAGCTTACATCCTCGTAACAGTCAAGGTCATAGAAAGACGTTCAGTTTAACATCCTCTTAACAGTCAAGGTCATAGAAAGACATTCAGCTTACATCCTCGTAACAGTCAAGGTCATAGAAAGACGTTCAGTTTAACATCCTCTTAACAGTCAAGGTCATAGAAAGACATTCAGCTTACATCCTCGTAACAGTCAAGGTCATAGAAAGACATTCAGTTTTACATCCTCCTAGCAGTCAAGGTCATAGAAAGACGTTCAGTTTTACATCCTAGTAACAGTCAAGGCCATAGAAAGACATTCAGTTTTACATCCTCATAGCAGTCAAGGTCATAGAAGGACATTCAGTTTAACATCCTTGTACAGTCAAGGTCAAAGAAAGACATTCAGCTTACATCCTCGTAACAGTCAATGTCATAGAAAGACGTTCAGATTTACATCCTCGTAACAGCCAAAGTCATAGAAAGACGTTCAGTTTTACATCCTCATAGCAGTCAAGGTCATAGAAAGACCCTCAGTTTTACATCCTCATAGCAGTCAAGGTCATAGAAAGACGTTCAGTTTTACATCCTAGTAACAGTCAAGGCCATAGAAAGACATTCAGTTTTACATCCTCATAGCAGTCAAGGTCATAGAAAGATGTTCAGTTTTACATCCTCGTAACAGTCACGGTCATAGAAAGAAATTCAGTTTTACATCCTCGTAACAGTCAAGGTCATAGAAAGACATTCAGTTTTACATCCTCGTAACAGTCAAGGTCATAGAAAGACATTCAGTTTTACATACTCGTTAAAGTCAAGGTCATAGAAAGACATTCGGTTTTACATCCTCATAGCAGTCAAGGTCATAGAAGGACATTCAGTTTAACATCCTTGTACAGTCAAGGTCAAAGAAAGACATTCAGCTTACATCCTCGTAACAGTCAATGTCATAGAAAGACGTTCAGATTTACATCCTCGTAACAGCCAAAGTCATAGAAAGACGTTCAGTTTTACGTCCTCATAGCAGTCAAGGTCATAGAAAGACACTCCGTTTTACATCCTCATAGCAGTCAAGGTCATAGAAAGACCCTCAGTTTTACATCCTCATAGCAGTCAAGGTCATAGAAAGACATTCAGTTTTACATCCTCGTTAAAGTCAAGGTCATAGAAAGACATTCGGTTTTACATCCTCATAGCAGTCAAGGTCATAGAAAGACATTCAATTTTACATCCTCGTAACAGCCAAGGTCATAGAAAGACGTTCAATTTTACATCCTCGTAACAGTAAAGGTCATAGAAAGACGTTCAGTTTTACATCCTCATAGCAGCCAAGGTCATACAAATTACGAAGATGTTCACTTTAACACCCTCGTAACAGCCAAGTCATAGAAAGACGTTCACTTTTACACCCTCGTAACAGCCAAGGTCATAGACAGACGTTCACTTTTACACCCCCGTAACAGCCAAGGTCATAGAAAGACGTTCAGTATTCATGGATGATGAGGCAATTCCATGCCAACTTTAAAGTGTCATCTTATTGAAATTTCATGGCTGAATTTTTGACACCACTGCTCCTAGCCTGGTTATGTTATAATCGCAACCGGCTGACCAGTCCTAATTAACTCATTTAAAGCTAAACTTCAAGCAAAGGACAGTCAACTCCAACTATAAATGACTGTCTCGGCCGGGGAACAGTACCCATATGTCTTTGCTTGGGCGACCGCTTAACACCTAGGCTAAAAGTGATGTATTCATCAATGCCAAGTAAGACATTAGGAGAGGTGAAAAAGATATGAAATGTTGTAATGGGTCACAGTGCAGCAGTTTTATTTTGGTCACTTTCATTTGTGTCCCACAGCAAAAAAAAGGGTTTACCACAGTAGTCATCACCACTTAATACTCTTAGGTAACTGCTAGCAGGTAAATTCCCTGCAGGGAATTGTATTTTACGGTAAAACTTAAAAGGCTGACCATAAAGAGTTTTTTTTTGTGTGATGGCTTACAGGTTAGATTATTTTACAAGAAGAGTCATGATGTATGGTGACTGACAATTGTACGTCATGTATACATTGTATTTTGGCACTTTGCCAAATGTACCCATGTACTCCTGCAGAGTGATGAAAAGTGCCAACAGTAATAATATACTGCCTGTCGACTAACAAAAGGTTACCAGAAATATCAACTGATTGTACATGTAGTATTATGAATATATGTCCCAAACTCACACATCCCATGTCAGTCAGTACATTTATTTTAATGGGTTGTATTGGTGTTGGTATTACAAGGAACTGATGAGCACCTGTGAACAGGTATACCTTTGAAAATCTATGTGTTTTTTTACTTTTCAATTGTACATGATGACGCTGATCTGACATGCATCAGCCACTAAATGTTCGCCAGAACATTATAACTCTTATGAAAATGAGGTGTTGCTGGCTCCAAGTTCAGCCAATATGGGCTACGATATATTTTTCATGTTTATTATGGTTATAGATAGTTATTCTTACTACTATACTCGTAATCCAACTGTGGAAGCTGTGAATCAGATGCTCAGATTCTGTTCCATTGGATAAACACTCTGGGCATATAATTATATTTATAAATTCATATGTAATCCGTGATGTCGGATATATATTACCTCGGTGAATTAAATTTGCTCCTAAAGAGGATTATAGAAATTAGAAACGTGTACAGAAATCTATATATCCAGATTTACAAACAATTATAGTAAGTAAGAACTCTCTATAACCTACAGCTACTTTTACCCAACTCTTAACTGATGTTATATTGTTGGGTCAACATGTAATCGTGCACATATGTATAAGAGCTGATTTACAAAAACCTAGGTACAGTATGTGAAATATCATGCATATATATCAATTTTGTGTATCAAGGAAATCATGTCTGATATTCTATTTATATTTGCAGGTAATACAGCTTTGCATGACTGTGCAGAGTCTGGGAGCCTTGACATCATGAAATTACTTCTCAAGTACAATGCCACGATGGAGAAAGATGCCTACGGGATGACCCCTTTATTGGCAGCAAGTGTGGCAGGATTTTCAAAGATCGTAGAATTTTTGATAACCAGGCCTATATGTGATAAACAAGAAACAATAAATGCACTGGAGCTGCTGGGAGCTACATATGTGGACAAGAAGAGAGACATGTTGGGTGCCATTGAGTTTTGGAGACAGGCTATGGAAGTACGATTCTCGGATGTCAATAATCCATTACCAAAACCTCGATTGAAATCTGATATAGCAGCCTACGAAAATGCAAGAGAGGTCACATCTTTAGATCAATTAGATGATCTAATCTCTGATCCAGATGACATGCGAATGCAAGCTTTACTGGTACGTGAACGAATACTAGGTCCTGCCCATCCCGATACTTCCTATTACATCAGATATAGAGGGGCCCTGTATGCAGACATGGGCAATTTCGACCGGTGCATAATGCTGTGGATGTATGCTCTTGACATGCAACAGAACGTTTTGGATCCCCTCAGTCCAATGACGCAGAGCAGTTTCTTGTCTTTCGCAGAGCTTTTCTCATTTATGACAACAGAGTGGAGAAACAGACCGCCTCATCCTGTGGGTTTTACAGATATCATGGCTGTTTTACTGCGAGCTGTCAATGAATTGGAGAAAGGACGAGACCAGCTCAATAAAGTGGCAGTGTCTGAGAGAGATACAAGTCACTTCAACAGACTACTGGTGATCATAATGCATCTTCTGTGTCTTATGTGTAGACTGAAGAAGGAAATGGATCGTGAAAATGACCACACATTCAAAGAACTTGTTTACAGACTGGTACGCATGGAACCCAGAGGATCCAAAGGATTCACACCTCTTCACCTGGCCTGCTCAAGGGAGACAACCAATGTTGGACGCTACCCCGTGTGTTCTTTTCCTAGCGCTGATGTTTCTCAGTTATTGATTGAAGTAGGTGCCAATGTGGATGCAGTTGACGTGGAAAGAAACTCGCCATTGCACATTGCTTCAAGCAATCGGCCATGCAAATCTGAAGTGATCCGCACCTTGTTGAAAAAAGGAGCCCACCTGGATGCCTGTAACCTCGACAGAAAGACACCTATGCAGTTGATACGAGGCATGTCTATAAATGATATAGTTTCGCCTCTAAATTTCTTAACTTTACAATGTCTAGCTGCTCGGAAGATTGTGAAATGTAGCATACCTTACAAAGGCCATATTCCCTCTAAGTTGGAGTCTTTCATTGAGATGCATTGATGATGAGGAGTGTCTATTAAGTTTAGTTATGAATATATATAGATATATATTATTTATGCATGTTTTATGAATGTTGATTGGTAGATAACCAATTTTGGGATTATGTTTCACAAAAGTGGCACTGGGTTGTCCTTAATGCTGACAAATACAACTACCTCTGATCAGAAGTTCACCCGACAGATCAGTACCATTTTGAAGCAGAGCCAGGATTATTTTACGTGAATTGGGAATGTCCTGGTGTAGTCAGACAAATGATTAATTAGATAGAAATGATGGCATTTCTTGCTTTGATTTATATCAATTTGTTTAGAGATGCCATATACCTGGTATATGTGTAACCTGATAATTATAACTGCATTGCTTACCTGTAGGAGTGAGATATGTTGATCTTAACGCTTTAAATATAAATTACTTTGCCTTTGGCTTTGACTTTTGACCTTTTACTGCAGCATTGCATGTATACTGAAGTATAATTTGTTAACTGTTAATTCATTAAGTCTGCATAGGGTAGTGTACAATAGGTGTATATTATTGCATTGGGTCGTGTACAATAAGTGCCTCTTTTGTGAAGCAGTCCTTTACTCTTGTGAATGTTGGGTTTGATTTGTTTGTTGGGGATATATTTATTTGAAGAGTGCACACAGAAACCTTTACTAACAGAAAAAAGGTAGGTCTAGGTCATATTGTGCTTACTTTCATAAGCGGATGACACATGACAAGAGCAAGATATCTGTAATTCAGTTTTGCATGTACTTGATAAATACCAGAAGAAACCATATATAGCTAGTCCAAAACACTAGAGATATATAGACATGTGCCAGGGTATTATGGTTGAAACAATATGCAAGGTCACAACTCGGTATGTACACAAGATTTTCCTCAATGCATAGTACACTGTATAAGTATCCGTACCTGTATGTTTAAGGATCCTTGTACGTACATAATGAATTATACAACTGTGCATCGGAAATAATTTTTCCCAGCATGACTAGATCTTTTATAAATCATTTCTTAAAAGAAAATATACTCTTCTTAACTTTAACTCATTCATCCCTGAAATTTCATAATAAACTATTCCAACCTTTGAATTGGAAGAGTTCAAATGTGTCTTCAGGGGTGAATGAGTTAATGAAAAAAATGAAGAAATGAATGAAAGAATTGATATAAAAATTCTATTATTGTGCAAGTAGATCCAACGTCCTGTTAGTAAAGGGTAGTCATTGGTCAATGTATCGGTGGAGGTATCCGAATGGGGGGAAAAAGAAGATGAAATAAACAACAAAAACTCAACAATAGTGTTCCGAGTTTAAAACTGCAAAGGAGACCTGGCCTGGATTCAAACCTGAGCCTCTGATCATTACCTATACTATAACTAAATGAGCTACCTTGTCAACAGTATTACCGGGGTACCCTGGTCCAGGCATGCTACGTATACAGTTTTCGGAAACAAATTCAAGGGGAGGTTACTCTACATACAAATAAGTACAGTGGAGTTCTCTTGTCTTTAGTCTGTGGCACAGGGATCCTTAAGTTATATACAGTACTGAAAACCATAGTATACTGATGAATTGAAATAAGACTTCAGGGTGCATTGTGTACTCCAGACTTACTACAGATGAAGAAGACTTATCAATCTGATTTACATGTATGAGGATGTATGGTGTAATTTTTCCACTGAATGCTTGATTGCTATTTTGTAACCATCCACACACCTTCCTGTTCACATTACACTATATATATGCTCACTAGAACTCTGAGCCAAGTTCGATGCACTGTTGAGTTAAGACAACGTTCCTTAAATAATTTATAAATCACTTCAGTTTCGTGTGGCTTGATCGAAAGTTAATTTGGCTTGATTAGGGTAACAAATTCATTGGAAATATTCACAAATATGCAATAAATACCACACAGATCATTAAGATTTAGGTTATTACTGCTTAAATTTTTTATTTTAAGTCAATTGTTATGTATATTAAACATGGTCTTTTAATACAAAATTAGATACAAAAAAATGTTAAAAATATTGATAACAAGTTCGAACAATTTTACTGAAGGTAGTACTTATTTTTGCAAAACAGAAACAAGACTTTTTTTTTTGTCAATTGTTAGTAATTGAATAGAATGAAAATGTATGTTTATAAAATGGGAATCAACAGCATGAAATTTGATTTATAAAATTGAATATAAACAGTTTAGTTTGCCCAGCAGTCAGCTGAAGAAGGCAGTGAGAAGGTGTTGAAATCTTATGAAAATAGAACTATGCATCCTAAAAGGTAACTGTTCCAACTGAACATTTTGTTGATGCTTATAAAAATGAAGCAGTTTATTTCCAGACTTCATATGGAAAGATGTGACTGTTCACTGTAAGTAAACTAATCTTAAGATTTTGCAATCGCAAAGTCAGCAGATTTGCTGCTGTATAATATCTGCAGGTGCATGCGTCGAAGCTAAATTTATTCCAAGCTGTAGCTGTAATTTATTCTGAACTGTACTTCTATTTTTAATACCTCAAATATAAACTCAAACTTCTGAAGTACAAAGGAAATATTTTCATCTTATTAACACTGACCTTAATTAGAATGAAAGTCGACCGTTGCGGTTTGTAGCGTTTATGTACTAAGATTATAATTTTAAGGAGACTGGTGTGAAGGAATTGAAAGCAATACTGTTTGCAATATAAAAATAGGTGATCTTCATTCTTTCATTTGAAATATTTAGCGAAATGTACCGTTGTGTTCTAGCAATGATATGAAACAAGAAGAAGTTGATGAAGGTTTGGTATGCATTTGATTCATTATGTTCAATCTAATCTAGAGATGTATAACTGCATGTATGTCATGAAACTTTTGCCACATTTTAACCTTCACCTGGTTTTTCGTCCTTTGTAATGATAATGATGAAAGCAAACGATAGATGATCAATTGATTACTGCACATATTTCCACTTTGAGAGTTAAGTTAACAATTTTAAACATTTGTTGGTACTTTCTGTTCTGTATGCCTTCAAACATTTTCGTTGATACAAACTTTCGTAGTCGTTCGGTATGTGGGAAGTTTATAGTTATACTATTAATGCATCACAATTCTTAGGAATATTTGATAGGAAGGATCTGAAGGTATTCTTTTCTTATAAATCTCTTTGTCAAGCATAAATAACCTACAATGATTGATAATGCAGGTACAAAGACTAGGAACAAAAGAAAGTTTGTGCAACGTTTTATCGCTCAAATCCGTAGTCAGACAGTGCATTTGTATGTTGTCTGCATACCTTTTTTCAAATCCACTGTAGAATTGTATCATATACAACAGAAGGTAGGCTGAAAAATAAAAGGATGTTTTTCATTTTCCTTTATCAATGTGTTAAATTAAATACTGGTATAGGAATATATTAGTGACACTTAAAGTTTATCACACCATTAACATTTGAAGAAGACATTATTGCTTTAAACTGAAGTATACACATTTTGAATTACAATTCTATTCCTTATGAGATGAGAATATAATTGTTTAAAGTTTGTTTGCAGATTTCATTTGTTTTTTGAAGATATCATGAACACTACTTACTGCATGGGTTTAATTACTAATAGTATTTTAGCCATCAGTGTTAAAACATTTTTTTCGCCAGATAAGTTACAAAATTAAAAAGGATATCCATGTACAGTACATATATATATATATATTTATTCTGATTCAGTTTTTGTTGATGTTTAAATTAAGAAACACAAATCTTGCAATGTTTATATTTTTGGCAATGTGTCCATGTTTTTAATGGTCTCCTAATCTGTTACATTATAAGCAGTTGACTGCCAAAAAGTGTTGACTGCAGAAGTAAGAAGTTGTTAGTTTTCTGCTATTCTGCTCATAAGGTGTGAATACATTTGGCAAAGTCTGGTTGTTCTCTTCATGCTGTTGTGCCATAGTTAACTCATTAAATGTACACCTGAAAACACATTTGAACTCTTCCAATTCAAAGGTTGGAATTGTTCATTATGATATTTCAGGGGTGAATGTGTTAAACATATACTTAATTCTTTAAGGATCCCGAACCACTGCCAAAAACTATGTCAAGGAAATTTTTCGGCAATAAATACAGGGGGGGGTGGGGGGGGGGTAAAGAAAACCACACCTTGCAGGACTTAAACAAAATGAAATTAACAAAAGTGTTCTTGGTGTAAACATTAAGTGAGGCTAGACCCTGAATTGAAACCTGAACTTCTGATTGTTAAACTATTGTACTGACTGATTGAGCTACCTGGTCAAAAGAAGCATCATGATCAAAATGTGCTTCAGTAATATCCAAACGGAAGGTAAGGGGAGGTTACTGTATATAGGAAAACTCATAGTGCAGTGGGAAGGGATCCTTGAATATATTTATGTAACCTGAGGTTACTTATATCATAGAATCAATTCTGGCCTACCTAACCATAATATTTGATATTTCCAAGTTTTAGTTTCACTTCATGATTTGCATGAGCAAACACCCTTCAAACTAGAATTATAAGGATTATTTTTTTGAGAAGATAAATTAATCAAGAGTTTTAAGACTAGATACTAACAAGAATGCTTTCTTCTGTTATGGTTTTTTCATTGTCATATTTGATTAGAGCCTTAGAAAAATCTTCGAAGTTTTTTGTTTGTTTACAGGGTTAAAGAAAACCATAATGCATATTAATATTGGCCTCAAGAAGAATATATTCCAGCTATACTTAATGACAGGTGATTTAAATTATGCCTTGTTCAATAGATATGAGTATTTAAAATTGGACAATAGAAGGTATGAAAATATTTTAATAAATGCAGGCCATAATACCACTACCTAAGATTTCTATAGCAATAGTTCAGCCCTGTTACAAATTAATGTAATATTAATCCTTTATCTTTACATTTTACTGACTTAATATGAGGTTATAATGAGAATGTCATAAACAGGGCCATTAGTGTGATTGTATTTTACTGACTGAATATATTGATATGGTTTGTGATGACTTGCATCTTGACTTGGCATCTGAGTTAGTCTTGGCCAATACAGACCCAATAAGCTTGATTGCTCTCGTATCCTGTCAGAAATGTTTTCATAGTGACGCAGTAAAACTCGTTTTCAATATTATTTCTGTATAACAGTTGACTGCTCCCAACACCATATTTATACCAACAGCACATTTATCAATTGTAGTCTTATTCATGAAACTGGGGATAAAATGGAAAGCAAATATATACATTATATTGTTAAAATTTTATGTTATGTAATGTGTAGGGCTTTTTTTTACCTTAACGAAAATTGACTGTTTTTAAGAAGAAATGGTGCCCCCTATTTTGTTCATATGTGTCGATTATTAGAACTTTATGATATTGTGCAATGAAAGAGTTAATGATTTTGATTTTTTGCTCTGTTATTAGTTCTGCATCACAATCATTTGCTCTGTTATCAATTTTTTGTCATGTACAGAGAGAGTACATTCAAAATTAGTTGAAATTTAAGTTGGAATTTAAGATAGAATATGTATTGCTGTAGTAAATTATATGAAATTCTTTCATTAAAACTGAAACCAAAAGTTGTTGGTAATAAGAGAAATTTCCTCCGATAAGAAAAAATCCATGTTTACTTTTATAATACAGAAATTGTAGACAAAACACACCGTAGATTCACATCTTGAAATGTTCGTGGTAGTGAAGTAAATCTCGATAACATATCCGATCAAAAATAAAAATCATTCCAAGCTATGAAGCATACCATGAGTTAACCCTTTCACCCTATGTAACTTTAGTAGACTCTACCATGCATTGATCTGGATGAGTCCATTATGGTCTACAGTGGTGAAAGGGTTAATGATGTAATAGAACTGCAACATATTTACAAACAAGTATACTTTCCAAGTACATTGTGCTTGCTCGTCTGAAAAAGGAGGATTTGAGGATATTCTCTGTTAGTTTACCTACAGGATGAAAATAATGTTAGTCTTTACACTTCTGTTTCAGAAGATAAATAAGCAAACGAACAAAGCCATTTTTTGTAAATCATTGGTAATTTTGTGTCTTGTTAAAGGAAAATAAAGTACATGAGACTTAA